CTGGGATCAAGCCCCCAACCCAGGCATGTGCCCTAACGGGAATCGAACCGTGACCTCCTGCCTGGTTCATAGGCTGACGCTCAACCACTGAGCCACGCCGGCCGCGCCCGTAGTTGGTCCTTCGATATCACATTTGTTCCCATGGAGGAGCCGGTTGGTGGAATGTGTAGACCGTGATGCAGAGCGGGACAGAGGAGGGCTGGGCTGGAGGAGGGGGTCAGCACCATTCATTGTCCCAAAAAACACACACACACCAGCCCCAATCGGTTTGGCTCAGTGGATAGAGCGTCGGCCTACGGACTGAAGGGTCCCAGGTTCGATTCCGGTCAAGGGCATGTACCTTGGTTGCGGGCACGTCCCCAGTAGGGGGTGTGCAGGAGGCAGCTGATCGATGCTCTATCCCTCTCCCTTCCTCTCTGTAAAAAATCAATAAAATATATTTAAAACACACACACCAAATTGGGGGGAAATGAGAACAAAAGACAGACTCTGAACTGAGAGAGGGGTTGGGGGGGGCATCACTCCCTTCCCTGGGACCTCACTGGGGAGCCTGGGGCCCCGTCCAGCCCTAGCCCCTCACAGGGACAGGAGGCTGCAAGGGTCAAAGCCCAGCTCAGAGCCCCTGGGTGCCCCCCCCAATCCCCAAGCTGAGGCGGAGGGAGAGGGGCAGCCACCACGCCCTGGTCCCCGTGTCACTGCCCACTCTGGGCATCAGAGTCCTCATGAGCCACGGACCTCAAATGTCCCAGAGAAAAGGGGTACAGGAGCCTTGGGGTGTCCACCTGAGCAAAGGGAGGATTGGGGATCTGTTGGCTTTACAAAAACAGTAATTTTTTTTTTTTAATTTAAGTTGAGCCCAGCCAGCGTGGCTCAGTTGGTTGAGTGCTGACCCAGGAACCAGGAGGTCACTGGTTCGATTCCCGGTCGGGGCACATGCCCGGGTTGCAGGCTGGGTCCCCAGTAGGGGGCGTGCAGGAGGCAGCCGATCCATGATTCTCTCTCATCATTGATGTTTCTCTCTCTCTCTCTCTTCCTCTCTGAAATCAATAAAAATATATATATTTTTTTATTTAAGTTGAGAAGTATAAAAACAATAGGGAACATGATCCACTTAGTAAATACAGCCGTGAGGGGGGTGGGGGGAAGGGCCAGGCAGGCACAGTGCTGTGGCCGGCTCTAGCGAGGAGGACGGTAACAGTACACACCATACTTGCGGCTCTGCGGGTCTGGGAAGCCGAAGCTTCGGACCCCGGGCTCCAGGGGCCCGCAGGTGGGGCGTGGGTGAGCCACGGGGTAGCGGGCGCTGCCGTCTGCCAGCCAGCCGGCATCGCAGCGGTCCAGGCCGCGGAACTTCCAGGCGGCAAAGAGCTGGCCCACCTTGGCAATCTGGGCGCCGTCTTCCCGGCAGGCCGCCTTGGCCTCTGAGAGTGTCAGCTTCTCGGGGTGCTCCAGGTAGTACACCCGCCCTGTGGGAAAGTGGGGTGTGAGGGCCGGGCCGCGGAGGGGACAGCCGGACCTGCAGCACCGTCCGCCAGGCCAGACATCACTACCCAGACCCCAAAGATCTGTCTACTCTCTGAGCCCAGGGAGCCCCATGAGCTCTGACCTCTCTGTGCCTCAGTTTACTCATCTGTAAAATGGGGGTAATGTCCTAGCTGGTTTTGCTCAGAGGTTAGAGCGTCGGCCTGCACACCGAAGGGTCCTGGATTCGGCTCCAGTCAAGGGCTTGTACCTCGGTTGCTGTGGGCATCTACTTAGACATTTTGGGGGGCACCTGCCCAGTCCTCTCTCAGAGCTTCACCCCACCTGCTATGGGCTGGGGTCCCTCCTGTCATATCTATACTCCCCCAACGCTCCCCTAACTGCACCCTGGGTGGGCACCCCACCTGGGCTGGACTAATCAGAGTCTCTCGCTGGCTCAGTTGTTTAGTGAGCACCTACTATGTGCCAGCCACTTTTCTAGATGCCTGGGGTATAGCGCTGAGTCAGCTTCTGTCTTCCCATGAAACGAACCACTCTGTTTGTGATGCCCAGAGCCTAGTCCAGGCCCCAGCCCGTTGTGGGCACTCAGGCAATGCTTGATGAATAAATAAACAAATGATTGGCGTGAACAGCTGCGTCAAAGCCCTCAAACTCTCATCATCGATGTTTCCATCTCTCTTTTCCTCTCCCTTTCTCTCTCAAGTCAATAACAATACATTTTTTAATATATTTTTATTGATATAGAGGAAGGGAGAGGGAGAGAGAGAAACATCAATGATGAGAGAGAATCATGGATGGGCTGCCTCCTGCACGACCCCCACTGGGGATCGAGCCCACAACCTGGGCATGTGACCTTGACCGGAATCGAACCCAGGACCCTTCAGTCAGCAGGCCTATGCTCTATCCACTGAGCCAAACCGGCTAGGGCAGTGGTCGGCAAACTGCGGCTCGGCAAACCGCGGCTCGCGAGCCACATGCGGCTCTTTGGCCCCTTGAGTGTGGCTCTTCCACAAAATACCAACTTCTGCGCATGGGCCACGAAGTTTCAATCGCACTGTACGTGCGCGCCCACACGTGGTACTTTGTGGAAGAGCCACACTCAAGGGGCCAAAGAGCTGCATGAGGCTCGTGAGCCGCGGTTTGCCGACCACAGGGCTAGGGCAATAAAAATACTTTTTTTCTTAAAAAGATACGGTTTGGCTTAGTGGATGGAGTGTCAGCCTGCGGACTGAAGGGTCCCGGGTTCAATTTCGGTCAAGGGCACATGCCCAGGTTTCAGGCTCGGTCCCCTGTGGGGGACGTGCAGGAGGCAGCCGATTAGTGATCCCCTCTCATCATTAACGTTTCTGTCTTTCTCTCTTCCTCTCCCTTCCTCTCTGAAACCAATTAAAATTTTTAAAAAATCTTTAAAAAGATACAGTACTTGCAATTACAATTAGGAATTGTCTGGAAAATCCTGTCTACACACACCCCCTTTCTCAAGATCCTTCATGCAGTCACATCTACAAAGTTGATGTTGCCGTATGAGGCCACACTCAGGGGTTAGGACCTGGATGTTTGGGGGAGCCATTCCTTAGCCTGCACACCCCTTTTCTCCGGAGTTTATGTTGCTGCCCAAGCACTACTTGAATGAGATTCAAGGAAACTTCTGAATCATCACAAACTTAGGGCCTTAAGATGTTTACTTTGCTTGTGATTCCACGGGTGGGCAGTTTGGCCTGGATCACGCATGTGCCTGCAAAGCCACAGTGGCTACGGGGAGGGGTGCAGCACTATGGCCATTCTCACCCGGCGGAGGTGCCCCAGGGCGGGCAGAGGGGTCCCCCAACCCCCCTGCAGCACTCAGATGCTCCCCGCCACCCACAGGCTGTGCTGGGCCACCCCACTCACCCCTGAGGGCAGCGGCGAAGCAAAACACGTCATAGCGGTGCAAGCGGCGGTGGCGGGGCCCATAGCTGCGCACGCCGGGCGCCAGGCCCAGGCCACCACAGGGCCCCCGGGCCAGCGTGATGGGGTACTGCACCGAGGCGTCCTGCAGCCAGCCCGCATTGCACCAGTGCAGGCCCTCCTCCCAGGCCCGGAACAGCTGCTCGAAGGAGGCCACCGCCGCCTCCTGGGCCTCGCAGGCCTGCTGCGCCTCCTGGAAGTTGAGCTGGTAGCGCCCCTGGGGGGGCTGGTAGGGAAACACCACACCTGGGAGGGAGGGAGGAGGGCTTGGAGGGGTGGGCCAGCCCGCTGCGAGAGACCCAGTCCCCTGCCCCCACACCTCTATGGGGACAGATGCCCCACCCCCACCCCCCCAGGACACACACAGTCCCTCGGAGAAGCTCAGCAAAGCTGTCCCCTCCTGTCGTTGTCCAAGCCCAAGGCAGATGCTACAGGACAGCTCCTTCCAGAGCCAGCCGGCAAACAGCGGCTCTCCGCATACACCTACTGTGTGTTAAAGCAGCCACTGTCTACCTTTTCCGTCTCCTGGCACACATAAACTAGTTACTAAATTTCTGCAGCACACCGAAAACTATGTTCTATTTTTTACTGATCTGACAAAAAGAAATGATGTATAATTTTCATTGATTTACTACTAATAATAATAGTAATTGCCTACCCTTTTTTTTAAATATATTTTATTGATTTTTTACAGAGAGGAAGGGAGAGGGATAGGAGAGGGATAGAGAGTTAGAAACATGGATGAGAGAGAAACATCGATCAGCTGCCTCCTGCACACCCCCCACTGGGGATGTGCCCGCAACCAAGGTACATGCCCTTGACCGGAATCGAACCTGGGACCCTTCAGTCCGCAGGCCGATGCTTTATCCATTGAGCCAAACCGGTCAGGGCATGCCTACCCTTTTTGCTCCAAAGTGACTTTTTAAAAAATCAGGTGCCTAACCTGGCCGATATGGCTCAGTGGTTGAGCGTTGACCTAGGAATCAGGAGGTCACGGTTCAATTCCCAGTCAGGGCACATGCCCAGGTTGCAGGCTCGATCCCCAGTGTGGGGCGTGCAGGAGGCAGATGACCCATGATTCTCTCTCATCATTGATGTTTCTATCTCTCTCTCTCTCCCTTCCTCTCTGAAATCAATAAAAATATATTTTTCTAAAAAATGTTTATCTGGCCCTAGCCGGTTTGGCTCAGTGGATAGAGCGTTGGCCTATGGATTGAAAGGTCCCGGGTTCAATTCCGGTCAAGGGCACATACCCGGGTTGTGGGCTCCATCCCCAGTAGGGGTCATGCAGGAGGCAGCCAATCCATGATTCTCTCTCATCATTGACGTTTCTCTCTCTTCCTCTCCCTCCTCTCCCTTCCTCTATATCAGCAGTTCTCAACCCGTGCGTCGCCAACCTGTGGGTCGCGACCCCTTTGTGGGTCGAACAACCCTTTCACAGGGGTCGCCTAAGACCACCGGAAAACACATATATAATTACATATTGTTTTTGTGATTCATCACTATGCTTTCATTATGTTCAATTTGTAACAATGAAAATACATCCTGCATATCAGATATTGACATGACGATTCATAACAGCAGCAAAATGACAGTTATGAAGTAGCAACGAAAATAATTTTATGGTTGGGGGTCACCACAACATGAGGAACTGTATTAAAGGGTCACGGCATGAGGAAGGTTGAGAACCACTGCTCTATATCAATAAAAATATATATTTTTTAAAATGTTGCCCTAGCTGGTTTGGCTCAGCGGATAGAGCATCGGCCTTCGGACTCAAGGGTCCCAGGTTCGATTCCGGTCAAGGGCATGTACCTGGGTTGTGGGCACATCCCCAGTAGGGGGGGTGCAGGAGGCAGCTGAATCGATGTTTCTCTCTCATCGATGTTTCTAACTCGCTATCCCTCTCCCTCTCCCTTCCTCTCTGTAAAAAAGTCAATAAAATATATTTAAAAATATATATATATATACATATATATATATATTTTTTTTTTTTTTAAATGTTTATCTGCCTAAAGCACCAAGGTCCGGCTGCTTTCTCAGGTCCCCTTCCCTGCCCCCCCCATCACTCCACCCCACTCAGGGTCTCACCCCGCAGCTCCAGCTCCACCACGCCGCTCTGGTCCTCCAGCCCGTCGATGACCTCACAGCGGTAGCGCCCGGAGTCCTCCAGCCGCAGGTCCCGGATCTCCAGCGACACGTCCCGCTCCCCCGCCGGCCGCAGGTGCACGCGGCCCCGGTAGTCCCCGAAGGAGCGGTGCCTCGGCCCGACGGCCACCAGCACGTCCTGCTCCGGGGCCCCGTGCTCCGACAGCTTCCACCACTTGATGCGCACGGGCCTGTGGGAGGCCAGGGCCGGCTCGTAGTGGTACCGGCAGGGCAGGGTCACGTTGGCCCCCCGGTGGGACAGCAGGGTGTCCTCGGGCGTCTCCACCACCAGCTTCACGCCGTTGAAGAGGCCTGGGGGAGAGGTGGGTGGGCGCAGAGGGGGACCCGCTGCAGATCATCTGTACCCCCACAAGGGCCACCCCACCCTCGTCCCAGCTCACGCCCCGCCTCCTTACCCGCCACACACACACACACACACACACACACACACACACACACGCGCGCGCGCGACAAGAATAGCCACAGTGCTGCTCCCTCCCCGCAGCCACTGTGGCTTTGCAGGCACATGCGTGATTCAGGCCAAACTGCCCACCCGTGGAATCACGAACAAAATAACCATCTTAAGCCCCTAAGTTTGTGATGATTCAGAAGTTTCCATAAACCTCATTCAAATAGTGCTTGGGCAGCACCCTAAATTCCAGAGAAAAGGGGTGTGTAGGCTAAGGAATGGCTCCCCAAAATATCCAGGTCCTAATCCCTGAGTGTGGCCTTATACGGCAACATGAACTGTGCAAATTGATTCCATGAAGGATCTTGAGAAAGGGGGTGTGTTTAGACTGGATTTTCCAGACGAGTCCTAACTGCAATTTTAAGTACTGTATCTTTTTTTTTTTTAATGTATTTTTATTGCTTTCAGAGAGGAAGGGAGAGGGATAGAGAAACATCAATGATAAGAGAGAATCACCAATTGGCTGCCTCCTGCATGCACCCTACTGGGGATCGAGCCCGCAACCCAGGCTTGTGCTTTGACCGGGAATCGAACCCTGACCTCCTGGTTCATAGGCTGATTCCCAACCACGGAGCCATGCAGTTGGACCTCCCCAGGTCACCTTTTTAAGCTGGATCTTGACAAACTGGCAGGACTTTGGGGAAGTACAAGAAGCAGAAGTGACCGTCCTTAAGTGCATCTGAGGGGCTCCAAGCACAGAGTCACTGAACCGTCTCTTCTGCTGGTCTTAGAAACGAGGCTGGTGCCAAACCACCACGGCTCCGTGGTCAAGCCTTGACCTATGAACCAGGAGATCACGGTTCGATTCCCAGTCGGGGCACATGCCCTGGTTGCAGGCTCGGTCCCCAGCAGGGGGTGTGCAGGAGACAGCCCATCAATGATTCTCTCTCATCATTGATGTTTCTCTCTCCCTCCCTCTCCTTTCCTCTCTGAAATCAATAAAAATATTTTTTTAAAAAAAGAAAGAAAGAAAGAAGGCTGGTCGGCTGCAAGGGCCCAGGCTGCTGGCTCCATACCCAGTCCTCCATCCCAGCCTGGAACCTGCACTTCACAGCAAGCCAGGGGAGGTCTTGCTCCTCCTTCGGAGCAAAAAGCCGGGCCCAGGACGCCACCCACCTCCGCCGAGGCCCGGGTCCCAGCCGTGGGCACTGTTGGAGTAGTAGAAGCCGTTGTAGAAAGGCAGGCCGGGGATGCAGGGCAGAGGAAGCAGCAGGACCAGGAGCAGCAGGCGGCCCATGGCGGCGTGCATGGCGGCAGCACCAGCGTGTCCTGGGCAAGGCTGAGGCCAGGCAAATGGGAAAGAAGAGAAAAGCGAGACAATTAAAGACGCCCCGCCCTGGCCGGTTTGGCTCAGTGGATAGAGCGTTGGCCTGTGGACTGAAGGGTCCCAGGTTCGATTCCAGTCAAGGGCATGTACCTTGGTTGCGGGCACATCCCCAGTAGGGGGTGTGCAGGAGGCAGCTGATTGATGTTTCTCTCTCATCGATGTTTTCTGGACTCTCTGTCCCTCTCCCTTCCTCTCTGTGAAAAATCAATAAAAATATATTTTTTTTAAAAAAAGGCACCCCTCTTCAGAGAGCCGGGGACCCCTGGGTCCCCAGGCACCCACTCATTTCTCTGGGCTTAATAGGGTATTTGAGGGAGCATCGTCCACGCACTAAGCACTGTTCTCAGAGCCTGGGTCTTATTGGTTGAGGGGATTCTGGGGCAGGTTTCCTGGTTTGTGAAACTCACCTGGGGCCCTAGCCGGGTTTGGCTTCAGTGGATAGAGCGTCGGCCTGCGGACCAGAGGTCTGGGGTTCAGTTCCGGTCAAGGCACATTCCTTGGTTGCAGGCTC